AACGTACCCTTAAAACAGACTGTGTATAAGTGAATACATTAGTGCAGCTTCAGATTAAACTTTAGTCATTTTTTTCCTGCTTAATATTTTTTTAGCGAGGAGAGGAGAACAAATAAGTGAAAAAAAAAGAATTACCATCACTGTAACAGTATCAGTATTTAGCAGTAAGATTATGGTTTTGTTTTGATAACTGATACCTAATCTAAAACCATAAGACAACAATTGCAATCTTAAACGGTATAAAAGATCTGTAAAAATTTACATTTTATCATCTAGTTTCTTAAATTGGTTTTTTTTTTAGATAGAAGTTAAATTACAAAACTGTTTTAGAACTCAAACTATTATTTAATTACGTACAACCTTCTTCTTTACTTCAGTGTTTCAACTTTTAGTAATTTTAGAAAACTTAACAGATTGTCACTGAACAATTAAATTAACTGCTAATTAGACTGACTGTAAAATTTGGTCTATTCAGATGGTCTGTGTTCAATGACCCTTAATTCTTTATTGTCTTTAAATATTTTCAGCAATAAACTATGGGTGTTCATCGACAAATACAGCAGAACTACACCGTTGGCATTGAGTTCTTCAAAAAACTTTGTACAATTGGACGACTGTTTTTTGCCGAACCAAAAGTACCATTATTCTTCCTCCTATTCACCCTTGGGTTTTCTATTGGAAGTATGTCAAATGAAAAATTGAACTGCTTTTTTTTCAATTCAAAATCCACACTGATTAAAAATTTTTTTACTAAAGTATTCCACTTTTTCAACTTCGCAAAAGTTTATGGTTTTCTGCTGATACAAATTTTTAATAGTTAAAGCAATATTCTTCTGAGTTAACAGTTTCTATTTTCCAAACAAAAAAAATAGTGATGATTAGATGAAGTTGTTGGAAACTACACCGGTCTGATCAGTGGAAAAATGTATTCGGCTTTAATTGGTCATAAACAAGGTCAATTTTGGCACATCTTTTGGACTGGTTCGTTGATGTATGTCGCAAAATGTTTGGTTAGTATCAAGCATGTTTTTTTGTTGCTAACGTAATAAACTACACTAATTAATAGAAAATATCGTGCAAAATGAAAAGTCGATGTGTTAAAATATGTCAAAATTTGTCTTTTTATAATGTATTATGTACTCAGTAAGGAGTTGCGCACTGAAATGTTTCACAAACTGTTGTGAAATTTTAAGGATGCTCAGTAGACTTATTCCAGTTGCAAGCTTTGTCGTCCCTGGGATCGTGGTTTCTGTATTTGTCATGGAGAAAGAATGCTGTCAATCAGTTGCAAAAGAGATATTTTTCAAACAAATTTTACTACAGAATCAACTGTATTGACGACGAAGGCGTAGATAATCCGTAACAGCTTCTGAAATGCATCTTTTTCCATAATTCATTTGATTATTTAATAAATGGTAATTGAAGTACTCACTGCATTTTGAATCTTACAGTGATCAGCGGATAACCCAAGACGTTGAAAGAATGTCAAATCAGTTGGCAATCAACATCCTCCCAAATGCTCTTATCGGTCCGTTTGTTGTCGCATGGTACACTTGGAAGACGTGGCAAGGGTAACCGAATTTTAGCCGTTTAACAAAAACTGGTTCTATAGCTTCTTTATTTTTCAAAAATTTTAATGTCGGTTCTTTGGGTGGTGAAGAGCAAAATGTTTTTAACTATCGCGTATGCGAAGGATAACTGAAAGCTCAAGCTAAAACCTGTCCAGTGATAACGCTTGAGGCTGCTAGTCGCAGAAATACTTCTGATTGCTATATGCTACCTGTCTTTTGTAAGAGGTAGCAAGTAATTTTGAAAGAATTTTTTTATAGCAAAAAAAACATAAATCTGACTACTTCTGCACAAATCTGTCTCGCAGAAGTTTTGTTGTCAATAACCCAGTTCCGGATAAAATTTATTGTAGCTTTCATGCCAAATTGTCTTGTCTAATTTGTTTACTAGAACAAAAAGTTTTTGCTTACAGAGCAGGCGTCTTCGGTGTAGCTATAACATATGGTTATTTTGTTTTCGGTACTATCGTTAACAGACTTTTAATGGGTCCGCTTGCTCAGTGGAGCGCTCGTGTTGAAAAAGCAGAAGGTGATTTTAGGTAAGGTTACTAAGCTCACTGCGCACCTCGATTCATCATTCTTGGTTTCTTGTGGATTGGTTTTAAAATCTTAACCTTACACTTTTTTTAGAATATCTTTCAGTAGTTTTTTTGCGAGAACAATTACCACAAAGTTTTTGAAATAACGGAGATTTGTAAAATAAACCGTTTAATTTATAAAAAAAATTGCCAAATATAGGTATAAACACGCATCTATTCGGGTGAACGCTGAATCGTCTGCCTTGCAGGACGCGGATAAATTTGAGAAGAAAGAATGTGATAGGTTTTTAAATCGGCTGCTTAAAATTCAGACACATTTCTACTGCTGGAGATTTCCAAACTACTGTTAGTTAGTCTTGTTTATCAGCAGCAAATCTTGACTTTTTTATCATTAAGCCGTGTCTTTATTCACCAAACACTGAAAGGTATAAAGGGTTCTAAAACCACACATGTTAGATTAAATAAAACCTCTGATAGTAATATGACTGAACAGTCTGTTGCCGCTTTGGTGGAATGGAAGTTTCGTTATGATTTACTGCAGCAATATAATATGGTTCAATACAAATTCACTCAAAGTTCCAAAAATTTTTAATGCTCTTACAACACAGGAGGTGTAAAGTTTTCTCAATTTCATTTGCACTAGGCCGTTATTTACTGGGTTCTTCTTTTTCAGTTTGGCAACAGACTTTTGATTACTTTGGTGCAATTCTCAGTTATTTAATTCAGTACTTCCCAATTTTCCTAATGCATTCTTACAGTGACACCAGTCCAGGAGATTTGGCAATGATTATCAGCAACGTTAGTTTACTTTCTGAGTTTGAACTCGTTATCTCTTATTTTTTTAGAGTAATTTCTTTTTGAATTAAGCTTTTTATAACTACTAATAAAACAGCTGGATATGTAACTCAAATCAGTATTTAGAATGCATTTCGCTACATTATGCTGATTAACAGTTTTACGAGAGTCACCGATGTTGCATTATCGGCAGGTGAAGCTGCTGGTGTTGTACAAAGGTAAAAAGTACTTCTACATGTTTCTGTTGTGCTAGTTCAGTGCATTTTAGAGCTTTTTCTTCTAGCTTAATTTTTAGATTTTCAGATTTGAAACACACAAGTAGATTGAAGCAAACGTTTTTAAGTTAGAGCTTACTTTAAGGATCTTCTCGGTCTATAAAATCTTTATCTTGACAGTGACTTGTTATTAGAGGTTAAAGTATTAGTTTTTTTTTAGAGTGGCCGCTTTTCTCGCTTCTGCTCAACAGAAGTGGGATGAAGGTAAGAAATTCTTTTGACTTGAGTTATTCAAGCTATTCTTTTTTTTTTTTTCTTTTTGATTAATGGTGACCAATCTGGCAGTGACTTATTGTAGTAACTCATTTTAGATCATGTGGAAGATTTTGTCTCACCATTAATTATTGATGAAAAAAAAGAAACTGACGATCAGGCGGACGTCTATTATCGACTTCAAAATGTTGCTTAC